CCAAGCCGCTCCCTCCCGGGGCCTCGGCCAAGGCGAGGTCCATGTGACACCGCCGAGCCCCGGCGGCAGAGAAGGGCCCTTCGCCCCGACGGGCGCTGGCACAGCAGGTACCCAGTGGACATGCCACAGGGTGGGCAGGGGGTCCCCACCCCCTCCCACAGCCTCACGGGGGGAGAGCTGGGTGCTCCCACTGGCCCCAGCCCTTCGGGGCACACAGAGCCCCCCTCCGCCACTCAGCCCTCCCCGCTGCCTCAGTTTCCCCACTGGGGCACCCAAAGGCCCCCCTGGGGCAATGGGGGAAGCCAAGTTCCCCTTGCGTTTGGCTGCATTTTGACATGGGGCCCAGCCCAGCCCCCTCATGCCGTGGCTGGGAGCCTGCAGGGCCACCGGACCATCCTTGACCCCAAAAGCAGCCAGCTCATCCTGACCCCCTCCAGCGCCCACGTGCTCGCAGGGGCATGGAGACCTCCCCCAGGTGAGCGGGAGCCGGCCACCCTGCCAGCACCACACACCCCCTGCCTGCCCCGAACCCCAGATGTGTCACAAGCATTAATTTCATCTCCCGCCTGCCCTAATTTACAGGGAGAGCATGGCTAAGGGGGTTGACCAAGGTCCCTAAGATGGGCAGTGGCAGAGGACGGTGTGCCACCTGCACGGCCTGGCCCTGCTGCACTCCAGCCCCTCTCCTTCCCCTCCAGCCCGTGAAACCACGGTCCTGTGCCAGCACTGGATGGTCATGGGAGCCAGGAGAGCCCGAGATGTAGAGGGCGGAAAGGGAAATGAGGCGGGGGTGGGAGGGAGCCGGGTCTGCAGCCCCGAGCGGCAGAGCTTTACCTTCACCGCGTACTCCTTGTTGGTGATGAGGTTAACGCAGGACTGGACTCTGGCGTGGGCCCCTTCTCCCAGCACCTCCTCCTGCAGCTGGTAAACATCTGGCAGGGGAGAGGTCGCCTGAGCCACCGGCCCCACCGCAGCGTGGGACACCAGGGCTGTCCCTTCTCCCCGGGCTGTCCCCAAGCCTGGGGACGCCAGGGGGGCCCCAGCCCTGCCCCAGGCCGGGGGGAGACCGCTGGGGTCACTGGGCAGCCCCGCTCACCTTCGAACCTGCCGGAGAAGCTGTCGGTGGCTCTGCAGCGCTTCTTCTTCTTGTTCCTTTTCTTGGCGTCGGGGATATCGATGGGTTGACTTGAAGGCATGTCTGCACCGGAGCAAAGCCACCAGCGTGAGTCACC